CTTGAGATGGTATTGAATTAGGTTTGAATATCTTATTCATTGGCATGAAAATAATATTAGCAAATGCACATAGAAGCTAGCAAAAAATCTTACAAATATAGCAAAGAAAGTCAAAGCTTTTCATAAATGACATCCATCAAAACCAAGATAAAGGATAATAAATCTTTGCTATAAAAGAAATATAATTTAGAAAAGATTGTATTTTATCTTCTATCTTTGTTTATAATTTCTATGTAATTGTGGCATCAAGGAAACGGAGAACCAATAGCCAATAGATTCAATTCAAAAACCATCATTTCTTTATCTTATAAACAAGACATTGAGAATTATCACAGTCTTCAAGATAATATAATAGGAATGAAGATCTTTAAGACCAACATATTTTTCCTTGAATAGATAGAAAGATACAATTCATTTGATATCACAACCTAAAAAGAAAATCTTAATGTTTGGTGATTTTATTAGACATAGAAATAATTCTTGATAGTGTTATAATATTTTATTTGAAAGAAGTTACAAAGGTCTCAACAATGATCAAATAACAAGGTATTCTTTCCACTTTAGAATGGGACATTATTAATAGTTGAGAGGACCTATTAACTACCTTCAAAAGAAAAAAAAATTAAAATACATAGTAAATACAATTTGTTGTATCTTAGACTTCCTAAGCATATAATCACTACTCTTCATGGAACTCCTTAGAAGGGAGAATAAATTTATCAACATATATTTATTATAATTTTTATTTAGATAATATTAATAAGTATAAGTAGATAAAAATAGATTAATTTTATAACAACTTTTAGAAAAGCTTCATAAAAGCCTTATAGATGTTCTTTTAACTTTACATATATTTATGATTGATTGATAGATTAGAAACTTTGTCAATAAGTTATCTACATGCCACACATGTTGGTAGCTTGTGGAACAAGTTAACTATATGGTGTCCAAAAAGAAAACTTTTTTTGCAAATTAAGATATATATTGTGCAAAGTCAATAAGTTTTGGAAGTCTTATAGAACATTGCCAAGTAGCTCTTAGGTAGATAGTATATATAGAGGCAAGAATGAAGCCTTCTTCATTCTTCTCAATTCTTTTTTTGCTTCTATTTTAATTCCAAGAAGTTTTTAATTTTCTTATCTTTTAACAATATGTATTCTAGTTTCTTTTTAATATACATACTTTCTTATTTTTATTCTGTTATACTTCTTTGAAAAAGTTTCACTAATTTATTTATTTTCATCAAGTTCTTATCTTTGAAAAAAGAAGCAAGAAAGAAGAATAAAGAGAGATTTGATTGGAAGCATCAGTTGCAACCTAAAATAATACAAAAAGGTAATTGGGTATTGATTTATGATAGTAGTTTAGACCACCAATATAGTATATCAAAAAAAAAATCTAAGAAGTAATTTGGATTATATAGTGTGAAACAAGTTTATAACATTGCTACCTACTTTTTAAAAGAATTATATAATATCAATTTAAAATTATTAATTGCAAGCAAATAAATCAAGTTTTTTTGAAAAAAAAATGATAATCTGGAGTTTGAAGACATTGATGTAGATATGGAGATTAATAAAGATAAAGTTTAAGAGAGAATTTTTGAAAACTGATGAAGGTCCACATCTTTTTTTGAAATCAAATTTGTACAACAAAAAGAAAGGTGTTGAATTGTATTATTGGATAGTCATGTGACACTTTTTTTTTGTTATTATTTTTATTTTTTGTATTATCTTTTGACTTAATGCACACTTTGTATTACAATTGATGCAACATTATTTAGATTGGTACTGCAATACAATTATGCTCTTTAAGTTTGGCTTCTAGAGTAGGTCATTTTTTTTTTATTATAGCCTAGGAAAAGAAAAAAATATATAATAACAAACTTCTTATCTAAAAAGAATACTTGTTGAATTTAAGCATATTACTAAATAGAGGAGAAAAAACTAACTAAAATTTTTTAAATAACAACAAGAAAATCAAAAAGAAAAAAAATTAGTTATATGCAAAAATTTAGCAATGTACAAATTATTAAATTTGTATGCAAAAACAAGCTGGGATTTGCAGCAATAAGCAATAAAAGTTAATGGCATACTATATCACACCGTGAAAAGGGCCACACTATAATGCACAATTGAAATAATTATAAGGTCTATGTAATGGCATAAATCTATGATTATAGGGTCTATGTGGTTTTAAATAATTTACTATCATAGATAATAATATATGATTATAAAGCTTCAAATTTTGAATAAAAAAAAAACAAAAACAAAAAAAAAAAACAAAACAAAACAAAAAAACAAACAAACAAAATAAAAAAATTCTACCTGAAATTCTTAAGTGTGAAATTTGGAAGCTTACTTCAAGAGCATATTGAATCTAAAATTAATCATTTTTTTGTTATTTGTATGTAGAAGATATCCAAAGAAGCGAATGGAGTTCTTGATATTTAAAGTAGAAATCCTTTGAAATATTAAAGTACGATTTTTTCAATGTTATTTGCTTTCTAAGTGAATTTTTAATTCTTTTCTTGTCCACATTTTATTTTGGATTTTTATTAAAATTTGTTTTATTATCATAGGTTTTGTAATTTGTGACCATGAACCACAAGTAGATGCCAATTGTTTTGGTTTACTTGTGATTTGTAACCTTCAACTATATGATGATGTTAGTTGCTTGATTCAATTGTCATTTTTGCTTTTGTATTATTAGAGATAAAGATGCAATGTGGATTATTTATTTTTGTCTTTAATACCTTTTCTTAGTTGCAAATATTGTTGCCAAAGGTTTTTTGGTATTTCTCTATTTTGTATTATTCTAGTTTATGTTGATAGGTATATTATAGAAATAAAATTAAATTAATGGCTGATAAAATCTTTTTGTTTTTTGAATTATTAGCCTTGTAATAATTTAGAAGAGATTATTGGTGAATTAAAAAGATTAGTCGTGGTTGCAAGCATAGATAGTTATAAGTATCTAAATAGTCTTTTTTATGGTGCATACTAGGAATTGATACTATTAATCTCTTTCACTAGACTACTTAGATATTAACCATTTCTAAGATTCTAAGCAAGTCGTGCATATTGATGAAACATTTCAACATGTTTCAGCATTAAATACTACTAAGAAACTTTAGATCTCAAGTGTTGACACATTTTACAAGATGGAAGACAAACCTTGTAGTATGGTCAAAGATTGATTTTCAAAGAAAATTGAGAATATTTCCTTATTAAATTCAAAGCTTAGATTCTAAATATGAATAAGAAAATAATATCAAAGGTCTTTTATTTTTAATGATTGGTATGCATTTGAACTATTACTATAATATTTGGAGCTTGAAATACTCGAAACCTATGGAAGATAGAGTAAAGAGCATTTATTTTAATTGCAAGACATGGAGTCTTATTGAGAGGCAAGAATAGTACTTATTCCAATTCTTAAAGAAGGTAATATTACTAATTTAATTTCTAATGTGAAGGAAGAAGATCTACTAAAACCAAAAGTTGAAACATCTTTGAAGACATGAAGAAAAAAAAGTAATAGCTGTAGCCTTAGAAAATATTGCACTCACTTTATTATAAATGGCTTAAGCTATGAAAGCAGCTTTGTCTAGAATGACAGAGCTACCAACATTTGAGCTATTTAAAATGTTTATTAAACATTTGAAAATAAATATATGGATATTAGTTGTTATCAAATGAAAAGCATTCAAGACTTCCAATATAAAAAAGAAAACTCATGCACTATGTATACTCATTTAGCTTAGTTTATAATAGAATTAACAAAAGTATTTGCTAAGAGCGAACTTGTCAAGATTTTCTTATCTAAGATTGACAATTATAAAAGAAATTAAACTCTTTTTGTATAATAAGTAGCTTAAAACTTAATTTAAAATATAATACTAAAAATTATAAATAAAATTATAATTTCTATCAAATTTTCTATAATTTTAATTATTAAATACTATTTTTAATATATATATATATATATATTTAAATGAATAATAATTTTAATTAAAATATTTATTTTAAAACTTTAATCTAAGATTTGGTGACCATTATTTCAATAGTTATTGTTTTATTTGATATTATAACTTTAAATATATATATATATATATATACAATTAATATAAGTGTTACTAATAAAAATTTAACTATGGTTTTTATAAGACTTTAAAATTTAAGATTATTCTTCTTTTTTAATTTTTAATTTCTATTTCTTGGTAGATTTTGTAGATTGCCAAATATTTTTTCAAATTCATTGTATTGATTTAATTTTCTAAATTTTAAATCATTAATTACTTAAAATATTCAAGAATTATCAATTTTTTATTGAATTATTGAATTATAATATATTTTTATCATATCCTCTCCTAAATTATTTTTTTGTTTAAAAATTATATACTTTACAAAAATTATTTAATTTATGTATGGAATATATATATATATATATATATATATATATATTAACTATGTAAGTCTAAAATTTTATAGTGTCATAAGCTCAAATTTTGCAAGGTTTAGTAGCATATATTGATAATAAATAAATAAGACTTAATTATATAAAGAAATATATGTAATTTAAAGAGAATCTTGTAGATTAAACCAATGAGAGTTTTTTTAATATTTATTCATTATCAATATATTATTTATTTATTTATTTATTCATTAAGTGTTATTTTCCTTAATTTGGCATTGGACATGGAAGAAGTACTTTGACAGTTGGAAAAAAATATATTAATTTTTATATAAAACACTAAAAAATTAAAAAAATAAAAAAAAAGAATAAAAAAACGAACGAACAAATTACAACGTCGAGGACATGGCCAAGATTTCGAACTGTGCATCTCCCTCATGAACCGGGCGGACTCTGGAGCGTCATCGAAACCGCGCGCCGCATCCTCTGAAACCGGAATTCCAAACTGCGCGGTGTACCGCGACCGTGACCGCGCCGTTTGAGCCCATTCAGGAGCCGCGGACTTGAGGAGGGCGCCACATAGGAGTAGGAAAGGCGTTGCGTGGGGGAGACAACGACGCCATAAAATGCGTGTTTGGTGATCTGATTGCGAGGTGGGCTGATCGAGATATTGTTGCTGTTGCTACTGCTTGCTGATGTGCGCCTGGTAGAGCTGAGAACTGGGTAGCAATCTGTGCGCTTCGGATCTTCGGCGAAGTGAAACCTTTTGGTGTCGCTTTAATACTTAAAGGTGGGATTTCTGTCCAAGGGTGGATTTGATTTAAGCTTTGCGATTGACGTTGCGATTGCGGTTCTATTCAGTACCGGACGTTCTCTGATTTCACCCTTACTGCAAAGTTTTGCGTATTGATGTGCTGGTTATGGTGTGTGTGTGTGTTTTTTTTTTTTTTTTTTTTTTTTTTTTCTCTCTCTGTGGGTGCTTGTCGTAAATCAAAGGGATTAAGCTACATTGATAGGTAATTGGTTTTTATGGTTTGTGGGGTATCGGGAAACATCCACATGCGATGTGAATTACCCAATCTGCGTTTATTTAGTAGATGTCAATCATACGAGGGGCACATTAATATGATTTAGATTTTGAGTACTTTGTTTATAATTTGAATTTAGAATACTCGCAGAGGCTAGAATTGATTGTATCGGTGTAGATCAGCTGCTCCTTCTGCGGATTTTGTGGTTATTTGTAGTCAAAGCAGAGCACTTGTCTGTATTTGAGCGTTTTGGGCCTTGGAATTTCTCATGCCGTCGGTTTGGTCTGTACTTGCTCATCTACAGCAAGGGAGCGTTACAAACTCGATCGCGCGTCGTGGAGTTTGGGACTGAGGAAGATGGTTCCCTACTTGAACCAGAAGGACAGCAATGGTAATGTCTTGAGAGTTGGGTACACCGTAGATGATCACGATCAGGAAAAAGATCCTCTACACCCTAGCTTGCCTCTCCTCCAACACGCCGACCTGGAGGACAAAGTTGTTCTCCTCCGTGTCGATCATAATGTCGTCAAAAAAGGTCAGAGATGGAATGTCCTTGCCCTTGCGCTTTGTCATCAAGAAGCTTACCCATTAGCTAGTTGCACTACCGCTTCAATGTTATTCATCATTTTAATTTGTTGAACGTAAAGCAGGAACTGGGCCTCCTTACGAATAACGTGATATAGAATGTTTTATTACACTACAATTCTTACAACTTCACCACTATTCAGTGATTGGTGATCTTCTGTGCCAGAATTCAGAGTTTTGTAGTGTGGGCTTAAGATCTCTCAATCTTTGTTACTTCTGATTGTTGCCCGAGTGACCTGAGTACCTATATGGTGTAATCTACTTGTCAATTACAATAGCCCGAAAATTGATGTTTCAGAAGCTTTAGAATGTAGAAACCCCATGTCGTAGTTAATATATTTTTTTAAATCAAAGAAATTAAAATAAAGATAAATTCATCAAGTTCAGATTGGTGCCCTGTTGCCGCATTAAGCTCATGCAAGGTTGAGACTTTGGTTTTGAAAGGACTCTAACAACAACCTCATTTGGTGAGATTTAACAGGAAAAATATTGGATCAGTATCGTATCGATGTAACGTTGGCAACTATGTACAACATCATTGAACGCGGTGGCAGGTACGCTCTTTGAGTCAAACATTGACGAGAGATGTAGCTACCGATTATGATTCTGGAGATGGACACATTTGTTGACAATCATCATGTTACTAAAGTTTGAATATTTGAGATGGTGGCATTTTGTTCATGTAGATGACTCTACTTGTTGATATTGACTTCTGCATGTAGCTCAAATTTCAGTGACTGATAGAATTGCGACTTGATAGGCTTGTCATCATGTCCCACGTCGGACGTCCATACGACAAAAAAACGAATACTCTGACTGTTAAGCAAGATGAAGCAGTGGACGCAATAGTAGGGTACTTGCAACGAAAGCTACGCATCAAGTTTGCGATACCCAAGTTCCATATTTTTGAAAAAGAAGGAATTCACGACATTGACACCTCCATCAACTGGTTAATCCAAGACCTACGAGCTCGAAAAATTGGTGGCATCTACCTGCCAAATACTCGTTGGTTTGCAGTAAGCCCTCCCCGCTTCATTCTTGATCTCCCTGCTGATTCAACATGTCTACTAAGATTATCACCTTCCAGGAGTATATGCCGGATTCCGAACGTTAAAAATTGCGCTCTGAAATTGCCTAGATATAAACATATTTTGGGAAAAAAACCGCTTACTACCGTCAGATTTTAGTCACAGTTTCACATCTGCTGGTCTTTGATTCATGATTTATGATATGGACTGATACGTGGGGTGCAGGGAGAAGAAGACAAGGGTGAAAAAATGGAGCGACTCGCAGTGCAACTTGCTGCTCTAGCTGACGTTTACGTGAATGATGCATTCGGCTCTTGGCAACCCCACACCTCTACTTATCATGTTACGAAGTATTTGCCATCATTCGCCGGCCTTTGTATGCAGGTAAATTGCAACAATTCCCTCAACTCCTAGAAGTTCACCAACGATGTGTACCATAGGAACTGAGTGGCTCAAGTCACACTAACCAAGTTCTATTCTTTGATATTTGTTCACATTATCGTATTGCAATTTATTAGAGTGTGGGTCTTTTGGTTGAAAAAACTGTTGATTTTCAATATTCGTCGCTTTTGTTGGCTTTCTTTTATTTGTTTTACTGCTCGGAGATCTTTTCATGGCTCGTGATAATTAGCTTTGGCTAGAGCTCATTTAAGATTTCAACTGTGAGCAGATCAAGTTGAATATCTAAACATTTTCTATCTCACTGAACCAAAAGTCTAATTTCCTGCTTAGGACGAGCTATCTAATGTAAGAGCGGTACTGGAACCGAAGAGGCCATTTGTAGCAATAGTTGCCGGTGCTAAGTATGACACCAAAATTGGGCCCCTGACTGCAATCTATAGAAGAGTGGACCATCTCATCCTTGGTGGGCTCATCTATAACACATTTCTGTGTGCCAAATACGGTGTCAAGATCAAGGGTGTGGAGGTAAGATTATTTCTTCTGATTGTTTACTTGAAGAGTTTCCAAACCAGGTGCGCTTGGAGTGATGTAGTTGTTAGACGCAGTTGTCTATTCGAATTCGCAGCAATACAGAAATATCCTGTTGTTTTAAAAATTCTTTTACAATTCGTATGTCTTGTGCAGGACTCCGACATTGTATTAGCAAAAGACCTCGTGGAACAAGACAGAAATGAGGGGAAAATCCTGGAATTACCGTACGTAGTGGAGTCTGATACTTTGGAGGGTCGCATTGAAGGAAAGTTTCGAACACTTCATATCAAGGTAAATTTGTCCTATTTCCCTTCTCTATCATCAGCAGAGGATGTAAGCATCTAACGTCGTCATCTAGTGCCTCTCGTTCTGCACATGGTGTTCATTCATACTCATTGCAGCTTAAGAGTGACCCGAGATGTAAGTGGTTCAATTAAGCCCATGTCCCTATATTTTTTGGGTAAGCTACCTGCCTGAAATTGTACTAAGACTTGTGTTGGTTACACATAGGATTTTAAGCCAGGAGAGGACTACCAATTTATCGTGGATGTCGACCCTGCATCTTTTGAGCCGGGGACAGAAGTGCACAAGGGGCTTGAATCTGCGAAGACCATTTTTGTGAACGCCGTCATGGGGCTGATGCCATCATTTTGGCATGGAACTAGCAAAATGGATGAAACCATTGATCAAAACCGTACTGCTCAAAAATTCTTTGGTGGAGGTGACACTCTCCAGGAGTTTAAAAGGTCACTTTCTGCTACCCTACTCTCCAAGATCCTCAAACGTTTCTCTTTAAGGTTGTGCATATTGTAGGTAGCAGATCATTGTTTGAAGCATGAGCTGTGATGTGTTGCCTGGTTAGTTGGGCTAAATTCAATTAACGTCCTATGCTTGTGATCGCCAGATGAATTTACTCACTGGGAGTACTGTGCCCTTTGAGAACAACTTGTTACCAGGAAAACTTGAAATGTTTTACTTTTGTCAATGTACTGACTTCTTCCAGTTGGGCACGATGGTGGTTGTAACAGTTTGCACCCAGGGCTATACCATGCTGCACTAGACAGTCCCAAGTACTACATGTTCACAGGAGGAGGTACAGTTTTGAAGGTTTTGGAAGAGGCTGATCCCTTCGGTCTGCCTACTGTAAAAGCTCTTATCGCAAGTGGAGAGGCTTATGGATATCAGAAATGGCGTGCCGGCTGTACATCAAAAATATAAGATCATCCAGAACCAATCCTAGACCGTTATTGCAATCTCTGTTCCTACGTTTGGATCAACAGTTTGAGAGCAGCAAGAGCTACAGGTGACTCTCATAGATTTTATGTTGTCGCGCCAGCCAGTCTGCAACCACTTGAGCAAGCACGAATCTGAGTATCAGAATAAGGTTTGATTCCGTCCCATGTAGGTTCAAACTTTAAAAGCCTTTGCATGTAAAAAACCACAGTAGCGACACAGTATTTTCTCTCCGTCACATTGATGTGTTCCAAAAGTTCCACCACTCATCCCAATGGGGGTTCTGTTTATGCTGCTCTATGACCAGGGCAGAACCATCAATCTACTTGCCCTGTTTTCTTGGTTGAAGGCAGAGTTTGAATAGGCAGTGCACAAACAACGGATACAACAGTTGCGATGCATGTGTTTTAAACCCGTCCTTGGAAACAAACTGGGATCCCTTTTGGGCCGTTACACTGTCTTAGCGTGTGAATTGTCGTAGAATGGAGGATTAGAGGGGGGACTGGTGGGCTTATTCTGGTCATATTTTAAACTTGCGCCCATGCTGGACTCCCCAACATATCTGATGTTACACATATGGGCGCATCTATTCTCTTGGTTGGCGTGCCTATTGTCGAAATCAGGACCCTGCCGACTCAGGAAGTTCTGATTCAATAATTCTCCCCCGTCTGGTGAAGCCATTTTAAATGCACAAACAAACTAGTTCGTTGACGGTGTGGACTACTGTTATTCCCCAAACACACAAAAAAGTCGTATTTCCCAACATAGATCATACTTGACATTATCAGAACAAAAAAATACAAGAACAAAACAAAAACAAGAGACAAAAAGTGACTAAGCAATGTAGAACAAAAACCATTGTGGGCTCTAAAGTGTGCGGCCGGGGCTCCACAGTTCCCCATCCGATAGAATCATATATTCCACACCCAACCCATCGCCAAGAACAACTCCACCGGCATAGAAGCCAACAAACCAACTGACGATGACGGAAACAAGGAAGAAGGAACCCCGATTCTAATCCGCTCCAATTCACTGGTTCACAGTCCATGTGCACATCCATCGCAGCCCCATTGTTGACGAGTTCCAGCCTCAATTTGGCCACTACAACTTCCTCCCTCTTCATCTTCATTGGCAAAGCAGAGCACAACCAGCCAGCTCACAAACCAAGAAAGCTGTTGCCCCATGTACAAAGAGGAAGAGAGGCTTCCCCTCTCCCTTGAAGCTCCTTGCATGGCTTAGATTCAGCTCTCTTTCTACCCCCATTTGCATTTCATCTGGAGTGTAACAAGCACACCCGGACCCCACATGAAGCATAGCCTCCTAATTGTTGTTTCTAGGTGCGGTTGCCGAAGCAAATGAAATAAATATAAAACATAAAAGAAAGAAGAAAATAAATAAATGGCTCTACCCACAAACAAGAGGACAATGGCAAGAATTTTCAACCCTGTGGTCATGGTCTGTACTGCAAGGCTCTATCCACATTCATTGAAGGAGTACTTGGAAGTCCATGTTAAGCCTCAATATAGTAAGTTTCAACATGCTACAGTGTCATTTGAATAAAATAATTGTGTGCAGTTTTTAGATGTGGGTGAAACCATGTTTTAGAGTGTGGATCAATCCCAGTGTGTTGTGAAGTAAAAAGAGATGAGACATGTTGAATAAAGGATAATGTAGGAGGGAATGTGTGTTGTTGAGCTGCAAGGAAAATCTTTGTTTATGGAAATCAATCGTTTGTTTATATGCTCAATTTTTGAAACAGAAGGGGGTTGAATTTGTTGCTATTGTAAGAGAGATTGTGAATGAGAGAACAAAGCTCTTTGTTACTAGAAGGGGAGAGTTACAACTCTTAATTTGAATGAATATCTAGAGTCACACCTTGAAGAAGAGAAAAAATAATAATAAAATGAAATAAAATAAAAATCTGGTACAATGCAGGATCCACATGGTTCAAATACATGCATCTATATTAAGGGGCAATATTCTTTTTCAGATTGAATGAATCTGGAAGGAAGCGTCTAAAGATGGTTTAGTTAAAGTCAAGGGCTTACAACAGGTTGTCATGGAATTGGACTTTGCAAAGTTTGTTAAAGAAGAATATACTCCAAACTTAAGTCTTTTTTTATATTGAACAAGGCCAAAATTTGTGGAAGATAAATTCTTCCACTTAAACAAGGTATAAGTGACAATTAGTGTGAAGTGTCTTTATGATTTTTTTGCACCAAAGATTGACTACTATTTCGTTGAGACAAAAAAAATTGAAAAATTAAATGGAATTTGATATTTTTATTAAATCCTATAGTAGAGATTTTTGTTTTAATCTAAATAAAAATAGAATAGATATACATTTGATCCTTTGTTGTAAGCAAGGACATGCATGTAAGTACATAATTTAAGTATGATTCATCTACATTTCAAAGTCTATACACATATTTTAAAGGTATACAAATATTCTATAAAAATAAATAAAGATTATAAATATTTACTAATTTACTTATTGATTAATTAATTAATTAATTAATTGGTATGTTTTAAAAGAATATTTTTGGAGCCTTAAAAGCCTATCATTTGTATTTTTGTTAATTAAGTATTCTATTAAAAATGATATAATGGTAATAGTATTTGTAGAAGAGAATACTTATTTAAAAATTACATAGAAAATATATATTTTTTTAATAAAGAGTTTAAGAAATTTAAGTTTAAAAATGTTATAAGTGATCATAGATTTGTTTCTATAAATGATATGTATATTTTAACTACAATAATATTAGGTGTTGTGTTAGGAAAATATGTCTCAAAGAAGGTTTTTTGTTTTGGAAAAATATCATGTATATACCTGAAATATGTTGAAATATTAAGAATATCCATGTATTCTTGACAATTGCAAATGTATTCCTCACTTTTTTGATAATTAAAATTTTGTCATAGAACTTGATAAGATATAAGCACAATCCTATTTTAGGTGAATCTAAGGCCCAAATTCCATATCACGTAGATTTTGGCATGGCACATTTTTGAACAATTTCATCACCCTACAAATTTAATGCCACTATTATTGCCACTAGAATTTGTCGAGAACCCTTGTAGTATGCAAAGAATGTCCAATCTTTTTGAAATTTTTCATACATCAATTCAATGGCATTTTTTGGTGCCTGAAATCAAAGATGTGATTGAACAATTTTGTTTTTGTTTTTTTATTCCTTTCAAATGTCAAAGACTAATTTATCTTCTCTTCCAAATTTTTAAAGAGCAAAGATAGGATTATTATTATGTTCTAAGGTTTCTAGAAAACCTATGAGTGGCCTATCTTAAAGTTGCTTAAGATTTTGAATGGAGGAAGAAGTGTGTCTATTGCTCTTTAGCACAAGTATTTATTCCATTGGACTTAAGACTTCTTTTTTGCCAATCTTGAATTTTCCAAAAAGGAGAAGAAGACAAACAAAGTTGAAAATAACACTCCTAGTATATCTTCTTAGCATACTTTCCACTCTTATGAGTGTTACATCAATATGTTTAGTAGTGTGATTGATTTGTGAGGTGGTCCTCACCTCAAAGATGGTTCTTGTGTACTTGTTTGTAAGATTTTCCTACCACGATAGTCATCTTTAAGTTTTCTACTCTTACCGATTTTTTTGGCAAGGCAAGATACTTTTAAATGTTACTAGATGTTGTATTGTAGCACAAAATTGTTCTCTTGAAGCCCTAACATATTTTGTAGCTTAAAATGCTTCATACTTTTGGCAAACTTTTTTCACTTGTTTTTATAATAAGTTGGTCATAGAGATGTTTTGTGCCTATAGACCCTACTTCACATATATGATTTGAAGCAATGGTGCAAACTTGGCATTAGTATACTTGAGAAAATGCAAAGGTTCAAGTTATTAACAAGTCTATTATATCTTTGTAGTCAATTCATGCTTAAATTCATATCTACATGTTCCTACAAATATTGACATGATGTTTTAGATGTTTTTACAAATATTCACATGAATGTTTGTAGGTATGGGACTAAGTTGGTAAAGTCTCTAAGGATGATTCTTGCAAATCAAAAAGAGACTCCATTTTGCCAACTAAACTTCAAATCCATTGAGTTGCTTCACAAGACTTGCACTAAACACTTTCTTGCATCCAAGGGATTTCATGAACTTCAACAATATAATAGTATTTTGATTGTCAAAAATTCTGAAAAAATATTTATAATCTGAAAAGAAGCAAATAGTTTAGTTGCTTTAGAAGCAATAATGGTGGTGTCCAATTTGTGAGGTGCAAAAATTGTGCAAAAAAGTATCATGCAAAAATTTGCACCACATGTGATTTGGACCTTGGATTCACCAAAAATAGGATTGTGCTTACAACTTATCAAGTTCAAGAGTAGATATGCAATTATCACAAAAGTGAAGGATAGTTTTATAATTATTAAGAATACAAGGGTATTCTTGATATTTCAACATATTTCAAAGGTATTTATGAGATTTTTCCTCCTTTTTTCTCTCTCTCTTGACTTATTTATAACATAAATCTTTTGTTATATCTTCAATTTTTATAGAAGTGTCATTAAGTATAATTCATAAGATTTGATTGCTTGTATGAGAACCCATACTACTTACCATAAGTTTGGCAGTGAGAGCAATTAGTATAAATACCCACCTTTTGACCCATCTTCCAAATTGTGTGTAATGTGAAGCAATTTTTAGACTAAATCAACTTCATGGCGGTCAAAAGCTGTTAATGAGGTCTACTACAAAGGAGCCACCTGGCTTATGTTCTTAGATGAGAAAAATGTGATGGAAAGTTTTGAAGACTTCAAGGCCAGTCCCTAGATTTCAGAAGTAATATTCAATCTCTTAACATGATATGACATCAGAGTTGAAAGGGGGAGTAAAGTTGAAAAGGAGTTTCAGATACTCTAATTTCCAATCTTCCAATTGTGACAAAAAACTGGAATTTTTTAAGCCTAAAAGGCACTTGGTTGAGATGACGGCAGTACACTTTCTCCTTTTGGTTAAATCATCAATTTTTTGCCCTGATTTGAAGGAAAGTGAAGGTGACTTGTCTAAATAATGTTAGTCTTTATGGAGAAAGAAAACCGCATGCAGTAAAAAAGGATCAAGAGCATTGTGGAATTAGACACCTGTTGTTTTCTAGGTAAGACATTATGAAGAGATTGTAGGAGAAAGGGAGCAAATTGACTGAAGCAGAGAATGGGTTGCATGCCACAATAGGAAAAAAAAAAAAAACAAAACAAAACAAAACATAACAAGAGGGTCAAAAGAACTGCATGATGAGAGTTCATTGTATGGACAGTGTTTGACTCTATCCACATATAAATAAATCTATGTGTCAAGCTTTGCATGAGGCCAAGCCTCAAGCCTTCCATTTTTTCCTCTCCATACAATGAAGGATCTTGTGCTTACAGGGAGTCAGTTACTAATGAATCAATGGCTGTGCCTTGGGAC